TATGTGGTGGGTTGTGTGGTGTCTGCAAGGCTGGAGATACTTGTCTGCTCAACAGAGTAGTGTCCACCCTGTTAGATGCAGTTAGCCAGCATTGATGAGCAGGACCTGCTGGAGGGGAGAGTTACCAGGATAGATCTGCCTCTGTTTACAAAAGTTTCTGGGGGACAAAACCTCTGGAGAGTTGCACGCATTTGCACACAAGGACCTGCCTGTAGATCACTTGGTCTTCTAATGATGATAACTGTGTCCAGTTCTGCTGCTGAGGGGGGAGCGATGACATCGTATTGTGCTGAGGAAGACTTTACAGGTTGGGTCCTTGTACTGAGGAGTGCCTGCTTGCTTCTAATTAGAAGTTGGGTAGAAGAACTTCTGCTTGCTTAGGGTTTTAAGTATCTTTAAATTGTCAAGTTTTTTTTAAGTTCAAACCTCAGACTCTCAGATGTATTTAAACCTTCATGTGTTGTATATTTTTTTCCAATGTTGCCACCTTGCATTTAAAAAAACAAAAATAAAAATTTCTGAGCACTCAGCCTGTAACCTGTCCTGCCAGGACTTGGTCACACCCAAGCGTGCTCTCATGTCTGGAAAGGGAGAGAGGATGCACTTTATTTTGCAGGAAGATCAACACATGAAGTAAAGCTTGGCAGTTTGTCTAGAGAGCGACCTTCTCTAGGGTGCTGTGTTGTCATGGGCAAGTTCTGGATAGTTACATCCCTTGGTCTAGATAGTTGCATCTCTTAATCTCAAAAATGAGAAGCCACACCATATACTAGACCCTGCAGTACTTGCACCTTTGGCAGGTGTGACTCAGCAGACGCAGTAGTGCCATGCTGAGACCACAAGGGTTTTCTTGGCGTTAGCAGAGTACTGGGCGTTAGAGGAGTTCTGCATCTTTGAGCCTGCGCTAGCAGGAGGCTTAACCTTGTCTCCATTTATGGCCTTATTTTTAGACTCCTGAGGAAGAGGAAATTCTGAACAAGAAGCGTTCAAAGAAGATCCAGAAAAAATACGACGAGCGAAAGAAGTTTGCCAAGATAGCTAACATTCTTGAAGAGCAGTTCCAGCAAGGAAAGCTGCTTGGTGAGTCCCTCCAAACATTTGTAATGGGTAGGGACGAGGGAGTCAGGGCACAAACAAAGTGGCAGAGGTGGTTTTATTCTTGACTTTTTTTGCGTTCACTCAAACCTCTACAAGCAGCGATAAAGCTAACTGCAGCAGTAGTGATGGTGCTCTTAGTGTTGATAGGAGTATTTTGTGGATATTAACTCTAACTTTTGTGCTTTTTGAATCTCTTCTGGAGAGAGCTCTGCTCTGTCAGGAAGGGGAATCTGATTCTGGAGCTAGAATTACTGTGTATGTCACAGCAATGCTCCTGCAGTAATCACTCCTGGTCAGTGCTGGAGTTGATCGTGGAATGTAAGATAAGACAAAATAAACAGAGACCCCTGGGCTGCTTTTTGTGTCAAAAAGGAAGAAGGGAAAAAAAAAAGGCTCAGAATAAACATATAATGCCATTGAACACTTTTAAGTTCTGGTTTAACTGCTTTGTGTTTTTGAAGTCTTCTGGTGATGAGACCTTTGTCCAGTTCTGCTACTGAATTTGAGCGATGACAGTTTGGAGATCTGAAGAGGACTTCATCAGGGTCTTAATGTAGTAGAGCAGATTCCAGAGCAAGATACCTAAAGAAGGGGAGGCACTGAAGTCAGTGCATAAACTGGTATCTGTTGCTGTTTTTCGCACCTTGATGCACGTGCAGAGTCTGCCCACAGTGTTCCTTTTGGTTTGTGTATGTGAATTGTTTAATTCATTTTAACTGAATGATTTGTCCTTGCAGCTTGCATTGCCTCCAGACCTGGACAGTGTGGCCGAGCTGATGGTTATGTTTTGGAAGGCAAGGAATTAGAATTCTACTTGAGGAAGATCAAGGCCAGAAAAGGCAAATAAATATAAACTATTCTACAGAAAGACCGAATAAAATCAAGAGTCTCTACTACACCGAATGGGTAGCGTGCTTATTTGTGTGTGCAAGTTGGAAGTGCCTGTAGAATGTGAGAGTAGGAAGGATCTCCTGGAATCCTGAGTGCTTTGTGCCTTCGGGTGAGCTTTGAGCTAAAACCTCTCACCGAGTTCTAGGGCAGTAACTTGATGGAGCAAGTGGGTGTGGAGAAGAGTTGTCACATGAAGCTCATGTGAACCCAGTGCTGACAACTCCGTAACTTCTGGGGATATTTCTCTACTCTGTAGTTTTTTAGCTGCGGCACTTCCGTGTCTTGCATTCTTCACACTTGTGACTGTCATGATGATTAAAACTGAAGACTTGTATCTGACTCCACTGACTTCAGCAGCTGGCACCTCCTGTCTCAGCTTTCTGGATCATGCTTAGTCCTCCACAGGTTTGAGCCAGCTGCCGCTTGTGCCCCTTTCCTCATTCCTTCGCAGGTCGCATCCTTGTTTTTTGGGTCCTGTATGTTGTTTCGAGCTGACTTTGGCTGCACTGCTAAGTGACCAGCTGGTCTTTCGCTGACTTGCTTGGTCTCATTCCGGTGCAAGATGAATTCCTTCTAGCAGAAGGGCCAGGCTCTACCTGTGGTCTGGCCCTTTCGAAAGCTGGATACAAGTGCCAGCGTCCTGTCCCATTGGATTTGGTAGGATGGGAATGCCATGGTGCATGAAATGGCATGAACCCCTTTCCCCTCTTTCTCCGCGCCCCCCCCCCCCAAAAAAAAAAAAAAAAAAGCTAATTTTTCATAGAGCTGCTGTGTTCAGAGAAGGTCTGTGAGATAAATCTCTACCTCTAGTTCCAAAATGTTGGATGTGTTTTTTAGGTGAAGGAACTGAGCTGATCTAGGGGCTGGCCCTTGCAGGAGTAGGTACAGGCCAGACTTGACATATTTCTGTGCCCTCGCGAAGGGCACACAGCGCACGCTTGGCCCCACTTGTACTGTTTTGTACAAAAGCCTCCTTCCCTCACGGGAGCTCCTGGGTGAGGGACAGTGCTCACAGCCCGGACTTCAGTTTTCAGCACTGAACTCAGAAATAATCCATGATCAACCAGCCCTGAGTAGAACTGGAGATGGAGAGGTGCGTGCAGATCGTGGTGCTGTTATCCACTAGGCAGCTACTCGTTCCTGTGCTGGAATGGGCACTGCTGCTGTGTCTCTGGTGCCTCCATGCCGACTCTCTGCCCCCCACATAATCAGTCAGCCTTTGGCAGGTACCAGGCTGCTTTTCCCGTGCTGTTCTGCCCCAACTGCAGCCTGTGGCAGAGGGGTTGCACTTCAGCTAAGGCGCCCTGAGCTCTGCGCCTGCAGCTGCCCTCGGAGGCAGGGGCTGAGGGCGGATCTGTGCTGCATGTGAACGCACCGATGGCATCAAAACACGGCCGGGGCGCGAGCACAGCCCTGCCAGCTGCTCACGGCTCCGCGCTGGGAGCCGGGCCGCAGCTGGGCGTGACGTTTGCACAAGCACGATCTCGGGTAAACTTTCCCTGCTTTCCAGCAGCCGCCCTGGTTGCCAGGAGGTGGGGTGGCTGCGATAAGGAGTTCTGGGGAGAGATGCGTCACGTCTGCTTCCTCTCCGCTTGTTTCTTCCCTCCCCTCGCCCTCCGTGAAGTACAAACACAATTCAGGGTGTTCCTGGGGGACTTTGCACAGACAGAGAAATTGAGGATCACAGAGGAAGCACCAGGTTGATGTGCAGGAACTGCAGCCCTGGCTCCTGATGAGCAGGTTTATACCCAATTCATCAATGCATGGTACCTACAGGACGCATGGCTTTACTGCAGCTGCTAAGGGCAATGGCCATGGGAAAAGAACACACTTTGCAGGGCAGGCAGCCTCAGCTGGTGCCAGCCCTGCACCTCCAGCCCCCTGGGGCCAGCACTAGGTGTGACGTGGGAATGGGACAGAGTGGCAGCAGGTTGGGACATAAGCACCTCTGGCTCCCACGGTGACACATGCTGCAGGACCTTGTACAGCCTGAAAATAGGATCCACTTTTGCTAATCTAGCGCTGGCGTAGCGCCATAGATGCATGCAGTGATTTACCTGCCTGGGAAAAGGGAAGTCTGGAATGCACTGAGCCAGGAAGGAGTGCGTATGACTAGCCGGACTTGCACACAGCTTTAGTTTGACTAGCTTTAAGGAGGTGGCAGCGTTTTCCAAGCCCAATTTAAAGACTTCGCCGTGTTCTTTAGATTGTCGTGAGAGCTGAATTAATGAAACTGCTTTTTGCACAATAAGCAGCCCACAGTTTATCCTTGGTAAGGTTAGCTGTTATCCTAAGCCTCAGGAAAAACGCTTGTATCTGGGTGCGGGAACCCTTCCACCAGAGCTGAAAGCTTTTATTTATTATTTTTTATTATTTTATTCAGTCTAATAGCAGTAAAATTGAACCCCACAGACTTCACTGGTGTCGTTCAACCAGAGCAGTGCCCTTACTGTCCCAGGAGATCATGCACGGTCCTTGATGACTGTACCTTAATTCTGAATTCCCTGACTTTCTGGGCAAATGTGATGATCCCCACCAGTGAGACAATCAGGAACTTCTGCAGCAACAAGAAAGAACCTCAGAGCTGAGTCTGGCAATAGGTTTATTAATACTGAGGGGATCTGGGGTTTTTCTCCAGGGCTAATGCCCTGTGTCCCATCTCTTGCTTAGGCTGTGCCCTGTCCCTGTGCTGGTCCTGGCAGCAGGAAGCCTGAGCCAGCTGCAGCTCAGGAGGATCATTACATGGATGGGCTGAGCCCTGAAGTGTTTCGGCTAATGGGTGGCTTTGAATGCCGTGTGCCCAGTCCTAAACCCACTGGGATCTTGCCATCGGTTAGAGTAGATCTTGACTCAGGTTCGAGTGGTAAAAGACCTGGTGCAGTCCCACTTCTGGATGGGAGGGACAAGGAGAAGTGTCTGGGGATAAGGAGCCTCGTGGCCGTCCATGGCAGCAAATTGGAGATTGGGGAAGGCACTCGGCCCCTGAGAAGGGAGGGCTGCGGATGGCAGGGTCATGGCAGCTCCAGAGCATCCTGCCGGTCTGTGCTGAGGCTCTCGCTGGACGGTGCCTTCACCAGGATCTGTGGCAGCTCCTTCTTCTGCTCTTCAGAGGCCCCCGGCAGCCGGAGGCCTTTCAGGTGACCACCAGGCATAAGGGACTCACTGGCCTGGCTTTCCTCATCCCCCGTGTCCTCCTCCTCGATGGCGGCCACGGCCTCGGGGTCCTCGGGGCGGTTGGGGTGAGGCGATGGGGAGCCGCTGTCCGCGCGGGTGAGCAGGGGTGTGTGGATCCGCGGCGAGCTCGGCAGGGCCTCCACCGGCTGGCTCTGCTCCAGGTCCTCGCACATGCTGGGGGAGCACAGGGGGAATGCAGGTGATGGGGGTACCCAGAGGCCCTTTGGGAAAGAGGCCCCTCTCCATCTGGATGCAAATCCCAGCTTGGCTGCTAGACGCCCAGAACTACTCGTGGCCCCTGCCCGAACATGTTTGCAAGCCAAGGGCAACTCTGGCAGGCTGTGCTCGTGTGCCCATGGCTCCTTCATCACCCGGAGCAGACCCGAAGGAGCCGAGCAGCGCGGTCCCAAGGCAGGTTTGCTGTTTGCCTGCTGTAATTGGGCCCAGAGGGGTGAGCCTGGTTGTGCTGCTGCCTCCCGAGCGCTCCCCTGCACTCCCTGCTGCAGACAGGCTGCACCAGGGCTCCATGGGGCCAGCACTGCAGGGACACGGACGCTGTGTGCCCGAGGCTGCCCCAGGCAATGGCAGGGACACGTGGACCCAGGGGACCCCGCCGGGGTGGCCAGCACTGCGGCAGCATCGCGCACTCACCGCATGTCGAAGGTGGAGCCCAGGAACGAGGGCTTCAAGGTCTCGGCAGCCGTGGCCATGGTGTAGGGGGGCTGTGCTGCGGGCTCGTTCCAGTATTTGTCCTTCGTGGCCGGTGGCAGGTTCTGGTACATGTCATCCACGGACAGCAGGGACACCTGGGCAGTGCATGGGCAGGGGACAGCAGGGCTTGGCAAGGATACGAGCAGGAGCCGTGGGACAAGGGGCAGCCCCATCTCTCTCCACAGGTGCCTCCTTTGGAGGAAGGTCTGGAGGCCAGGGGCAGGGCAGGGGCTGCCGGGCACCGATCCTGTTTCCCAGGAATGTCCCTGCTTCACGACTGCAGCAGTTCTCAAAAGGCTGACATGGGACCCACCTGCAAGTTCCGGTCTATCAGCTTGTTGGTCTCAAAATCATCGTCATCTTCCCCAAAAGGGTTAATGATCTGCTCTGCCACCTGGGGAGGGAGGCAGCTGGGTGAGACAGGGGCACTGGGAACAGGGAGGGAGCTGGGACACGGGCATCTTCCCACGACTGGGGCAGCCCTCGCACCTTGAGCCAGCCGGCGTAGAAGAAGAACTGCAGGAGGGTGGAGAGGGGCACATACATGTCCAGCTCCTCTTCCTGCCCCGGCTCCAGGGGCTCCAGGAACTGCCGCCCGATGAGGCAGAAGGCGAAGAAGGAGTAGACGGCGATGGTGACCACCTGCCGGGAGCGCAGGTCAGCGGGGAGGCAGTGGGGACTCCTGGAGCCGCTCCGCCTGGGAGGGAGCCGAGTGGGGCTCCGCATGGGAGCTGCTCGCGGCTGTTGGCTGCTTGCTCAGGGCATCCTGCAATCGGGGCTAACCCATGGCCTCTCCAAACTCTGCCAAGGTGCGATTGCCTCGCAGCCTCCTCCTGCCCCCTGATCCTGCATGTTCCTGCCTGGAGCACGTGCAGCAGGAGAACTAAGTGCTTTTATAGAGAGGGAGAGAGAGCGAGCCCTTCAGCAGGGGGGAGGGAGGAGGCTGCTGTGGGTCCATTGCTGTGGGGTGGAGAAAGCTTTTTCGTACCGAGGTCTGAGCTTGGGGACCCCAGGGTCCCTGGGCGCGCGGGGACACCCACCTGTGTGTACACCAGAGGGATGCTGATCCAGTCGTAGTGGAACAACATGCTGCACTTGGCCCGGTAGAGGTTCAGCTCCTGGGCAGAGAGGCAGGGATGGGTTACGCCGGCCCTGCCCCAGCGCCCGCGCGTGCCGCGGCCACTCACGTCCATGAGCAAGCGGAGCGCCACGTCGTCGCGCACGCGGCCCTCCCGCCGCGCCTGGGCGGCCAGGTTGGTGAACCACACGCAGGGCACCCAGTACTTGTTGAAGTCCGAGTGGAGGCTCTCAAACTTCTTGCGCTCGTCTTGCGTCATGAAACCTGTGGCCGGGGAAGGGGCAAGCCGGGGGGAGACTCAGTATCCCGGTGCCGCCAGGGAAAAGGCGTCCTGAAAGCAGTAGCAGCCCCATCTCCGGGACCGCCTTCCCTCCACGCCAAGCTGTTGTCCCGTGTCTGCCCTCACCAGCTTCCACCACGTGGTCCATGGTGGGGAACCTCTTGAGCACCCGGGTGCTGACGGAGCGGAGGATGAGCACGGCTGAGAGGTTGGCATAGCGGATCAGGGTGCGCCGCAAGATCCGGCCCCTCTCGTCCTTGCCGTGGACGTTGCTGGAGATGACGCACATGAGCTGGTCGGGCAGCGGGATGCTCGTGTACTGGGCCCACCACCGGTTCACGATCAGGGTGACATAGAAACCTGCACCAGGAGACTCAGGGTGACATAGAAACCTGCACCAGGAGGCAGTGTGGGGGGTCCTGAGCATCCATGGAGGGCACAGGGTGGCACCTAAGCTAGCATGGGCCCTCCTGCCTGTCAAAGCAAGGCTTGTTGGAGTGGAGCAGTGGTTTGGGACAAGGGGAGCCCGTGCAAGGAGACCTCCCAGGTTTCTAGGGGTGGCGGGTTTCCTGGTAGCAAACAGATAAAACGCACACTGTGCCTCCCTTGGAGTGCCCTCCGTGGGGACGGCGGGTATCCCCAGCCCTCCTCCCTCCCTGTAGCCGGCTCCCGTGTCCCTCAGGCTGGGCAGCCAGGAGCCATCCCCCTAGATCTCCCAGTCTGAGGGTGCTGGGGGAACGTTTTGCCTAGGGAAGAGCACAGAGCTCTTTGGGAGCAGCCTGGAGCCGCCAGTGCCGGAGGGAGCAGGGCACCCTGGTGCAAGGAGGGCCCATGTACCTAGCACAAACGAGATGGGGATGAGGTCCGTGGAGCGGTTGCAGTACTGAGCCACCTTAGTGTAGAGGCGCTTCTGCTCCGCGGTCAGCAGGCACCTGCCATGAGCGGGCAGTGGGTCAGGGGCACGTGCAGGTCTCCAACCTCCGCACAGAGCCATCACCCACCTCCCCATCCCCTCGCTGGGGTGTCCCCGGGGACATCCCGCCCCCACAGCTGCCCCAGCACAGCAGCTGTGAGCAATGGAGCATCCCCGCACGTCCCTGCCCTGGGCGGTGGCACCACCAAGGCTCTTCCCAGCATCCTGGAGGATCCCCGGCACAGGCAACAGTGGAGACGCGCAGGCCCCTGCTCACCGGTACACGAGGCTCAGCACCGTGTAGAGCACCACGAAGACGATGAACTCCTTGTAGAGCAGCTTGTAGATGCTGCCTTTCCAGCGGAAGAGCAGCTTGGAGAAGCCCCCGAAGTGGGAGTTGGCAACTTTGAGTGTGTAGGAGATGGTCATCGTGGCACAGCCTGGGCCTTGGTGCTGCAGCCAGGACGGGCAGATGGAGGTGTCACATGGAGGAGCCAAGTGTGGGCCTCCACTGTCCCCTTGGCCAAATCCTTGTCCACCATCAGGATCCCCCTGCCCTTCCCCATCCCCTGCCCGCTTCCTACCTGCCCTCTCTGCCTCCTCTCCCATCCCGCCTGCACCTCATCCCCCTAAATACCTGCCCGGCCCTGCAGCCAAGTGCCCTCGTGATGGATTGGAGCTGTCACAGGAATGTGGAACTCCAGTAGGTCCCTCCTCCAGGGAACTGGCAGCAGCCAGAGAGATTCCGGCAGGGCTGCTGATGCTGGGACCAGTGAGGTGGTTTGGGCCGTGGGCTGTTGCTGCTGCAGCAGCCAAATCCAGGCTGCAAGGAGGAGCGGAGGAATGAGCCCTGGCAGGCCTGGGAAGGTGACCCTGGGGCTGCAGGCAGAGCAGGCACTGAGGGGTATTTCTGAAGCATGGAGGGAAAATGTATTTTTTTGCTGCCCCAGTGGCAGAGGCTCTGCCTACCCCTTCTACAACGGGGCAGCACGGGGGCTCCCTGTCCCTCTGTGTCACCAGGGCAGCTCGGGGACATCCAGGGCTGGGCTGGGTGGAAGAGCTGGGGCTGTCCGGGGCTGCTGAACTTGTCTGTGTCTGGCACGGGGCCACTTTCCCAGGGCTGGAGAGGCAGCTGGAAGAGCAAACTCCAGTGGGATGTAACCAGTGGGAAACATCCACGTGTAAGAGAGACGCTCGCAGTAAAACCCTGCCCTTGTGCCCAGGCCACACTGCACCTGCAGAGCCCAGTGGGCGGGATGTCCCTGTGCCCCGTGTCATCGTCCTGGGGGTGCCCTGTGCAGCGGGAGCCGCTGCTGGTGCAGGAGCGGGGCCCAGCAGAGGCAGCAGCCCGGAGCAGCGGCGGCTCTGCAGGAAGCGCCGTTTCCGCTGCTGGATGCAGCACCACGTCCTGCCCTGCCCCGCTCCCTTCCTGCCTGTGGCCCAGCCAGGCCCCAGGGCAGCTCTGCCAAGCAGGGTGGCCAAAGGGCTCCCAGCCCAGGATGTCCCTCTGAGTGGGGTGGCAGACACAGGCGTCCCCCCATGGGGCACCCATGGGCGCAAGGTACCGGGCAAGTGCCAGGCAGGGAGGTGATTTACACCCAGGGCCTTTTCCCTGGTTCCCAGGAGCTCAACAGCGCTCAGCCGGAGCTGGCACAGCCCTTATTTACAGCTTCCTCTGTGGGGCTGTAAATCACGCCGGGGCTCAGCGCTGGCACTGCACGTTTTTGCAGAGGTTCAGGGAGTGCTGGGCTGCAGGGCAGGGCTGAAGGCTGCCCCACGGCACCTGCAACCTTGCAGGGAAGCAGAGCTCATTGCAGCCCCCACAAAACAGAGCGGGAAGAGCTTGGGAGATGTGGGCAGCACTTCCCAGTGGTGCTTGTAAAAAACCTCCTCTCTCCAGGACTCGACTCAAGGCTGGTGGCATCCCTGATGCCTCGAAGCCAGCAGACAGGGTGACAGAGCAGGAGCAAAATGATTTATTTCTTATTGACAGCCGGCGCCTGGCAAAGCATCCCAACAGTCGTGCTGTGGGGACAGGCTGCCCCGCTGAGCAGGCAGGGCTCTGCCAGGTCCCCCCTTGCAACGAGTCCCTGCCAGGCTGGGGCATCCTGCCCATGCATTTGGGGTGCACAGACCCCGTTATCTGGGGCTGGCAAGCAGCAGATCTGTGCAGGACGCCATGAAGCCCGGGTGGGAGCGTGCTGGTCCCAGGAGGCAAAATTCTGCTGCCTGGTCCCAAAACCCACCGGAGCCAGCGCACCTCCTTCCTCAGGCATCCCCAAACACTGCCCGCCTGCAGCGGCCACCGATGCCCGACCCACGCGCCGCCCCGTCCCGGGCCTCCGGGCGCCACGGCCACCGGTGCCCAACCTCCTGGCCTCCCCTGCCCCGAGCGGCACTGGGAGGACACGGCATGGCAAGCACAGATGCAGGCGGCGGCGCAGGGGCAAGGAGGGGAATTTGGGAAGCAGCTTTCCAAAGAGCTGCTACAAGCCAATGCAGGGCGGCTCAAGCCCTCCCACTCTGACACATTTTGTTGCCAGCCCATAGGTACAGCCCAGTCTCCTGTCATCCTCTCAGGGTAGCCAGGACACAGCCCTGCATCCCAGCCAAGCCTCAGTGCAGGTCGATGTTCTCGTACTCCAGGTTGTCTGAGTCCTCCAGCTCGATGCCAGGCACCAGGTTGTAATAGTTGGTCGCCTGGCTCATGTACATCTTCTCCCGGTCGGCCGAGTCCCTCAGGACGTCGCTCACGCTCACGGTTTCTGCCTCTGCTGCACTCCCCACCAGCTCCTCTGCCCTCGGGGATGCTGGAGGGTCCTGCTCTGCGCCCAGCCGCCCGGCGTTGGCCGGCACCAGGGCACCGCTGGAGGATCCCACGTGGATCTCCACCTCCTCGTAGAGGTCCTTGCTGCTCTCCAGCAGGGCTGCCGAGGGCTGGGGCAGGAGCTGGCTCCCCAGGAGCACCTTCTTCTCAGTGTCAGACGGGGCAGCCGGCAGCTCGTAGGGGAGGTAGTGGTGGGGCTCCGCGGGCGCCGCTGCGGTGCCCGTCTCTGCCATGGCGAGGTGGCTCTCGGGCCTGCTCTGAAAGCTGTAGTTGGTTGTTCTCTTCCACCTGCAGAAGCAGCAGGCGACACTGGCGAGGATGAGCAGCAGGGGCAGGCAGATGAAGAGGGCGGTGAGGCTGGGTGAGCGGCACAGCTCGTTCTGGGGGATGCTCTGGAGGTCAGCGCCGCGGTACCGCTCCGGCGTGTGGCAGATGACCTCGACGTCCAGGCTGGGCCAGCTCCCCAGGGTGCTGAGCAAAGCGCAGCTGCAGTCCCAGCTGTTGTTGGAGAGCTGCAGCTGGAGCAGAGAGGGCTGCAGGAGGCTGGCAGGAAGGAAAGTTAAAGCGTTGAAGCCCAGGTAGACCTCCTGGACCTGGGTCGATGCTCTCAAGAAGGACTTGGGCAACTCCTGGAGCTGGTTTCTGTCCAGATAAAGGACCTTCAAATTAGGGGCGCCTTCCAAAAAGCTTCCAGGAAGACTTTCCAGATGGTTGTGACTTAAGTGCAAGATCTCCAAGGTAGGGGTGACCACCTGGGCATTGCTGATGGCTGTAATGCTGCAGTGTGAGAGGTAGAGCTCCCTCAGCCCCTGGACTCCCGCCACAGTGCCCCAGTCCAGGTGGGTGATGTTGGAGCTGGTGAAGTTGAGACAGCAGGTCTCGGAGAGCGGAGCTGCTTGGAAGTCCTGGAAGTCTATGGGCCCTGTGCAGTTGCAGCTTTCCGATGCTGCTGCGACATCCTGCTCTGGTGCTGGCTCCAGGGCAAGGCTGGCAGTGAGCAGCAGGCTGCCCCACAGGGGCATGGTCTGCAGCCCCGGACCTGCAGAGGGAGCAGAGCAGAGGATGGGTGACCCCGCTGCTCCCCTTGCTCCCTGGACCCTGCACAACCCGGGGGGGCGCCTGGCTCCTGTAGCCGCCGCCGCTTTGTGCTCCCGCTCCGCGCCCCGCTCCGCTCCGCTCCGCCTGCCGAGGGGCGGCCCCGCCGCGCCCGCCCCGGCCCCGCGCACCGGCCCCTCCAGCCTCTGTGCCCTGTCCCCTTGCAGCCCCGAGCCCCGTTCCTCTGCTGGCCTCTGCGTCTCAGCCCCTCCAGACTAGCACCTCGTCTCCCTCCGGCCCCTGCACCCTTTCTGCTCTCCAGCCCCCTCCACCCTCCCTCCATGAGACACCATCTCCCTCAGCCTCCCTGTACCCCACCTCCTTGCCCCCTCCAGTGCCACTGTGTTTTGGCATCCCGAGAGCCACAATTCCCCCCACATCTACACTCAGTCCACTCCCTGGTCCCCCTTTCTCTGCTCCTCACCCCCGAGTCATGAGCCCCTCCAGTGCCCATATTCCATACTCCCCTCTTCTCCCTCTACCCCAGAAGCCACAAGTCCTTTCAGCCTCCCCTCAAATACATGCCCTCTTCTTCCCCACAAGTGAGCTCCCTTCAGATCATATCCCCCTCCAGCCCCCAGTACTCCAGCTTTCTGCCAGAATGGGCTCTGCTGAATCCCCCTCTCTCCCGGGAAAGGGATGTATGTGCAGGAGGGTGCCCACCTGTGTGCGCAGCATGGTTGCCAGCCCAGCGGGAGAGAGGGTGCAGGGTGGACATGCCTGCAGGATCGGGATCCACGGACCTGCCTCCCTCTCGTCACTGGACCCATTACGACTTCCTTCCACCCTGCACAAGTCCGAGGCTGTGGAAGGAGGAGCCGCGCCTGGAAACGAGCACCACAGCCCACAGGAAAAGCGCAGATCGGCATTAACACTGCTGGAGAGGGGCACTGCATTTCCACACCCTCAGACTGCGTGTGTGGAGCTCACACTGCAAATGCTGCCTCAAGGAACTGGATTAACTGAGGCACATGGAGCGGTACCTATAGTGCTTTGCGACCAGTACCTGGTGATGGTGGGAGGTGGGAGAGGCCGGACTCGGCACGAGCATGTGCGTGCAGGGCTCTGTGGGCCGCCCTTCAGACTGGTTTGGGGTACAAAAGAACAATGAGAGCAGCCGCACAAGCAGTGCATTATATGGCACAGTGCAATGCCAAGTTGTCCCTAGGCCACCACTGCAGGGCCCTTGCTTGGCTTGAGGAGCCTCCAGCCTCTTGTGAGTCACCTCCAGAGTGGGAAAAGCACCTCTTGTCACTGCAGGCCCATGGCACATATCTGCTCAGCTCGGTTAGGTCTCTCCCAAACCATCAACACGAGAAACCCCAGCACAGGAGCTGGCAGTGGGACAGGGTGCCAAGTTGTCCCTAGGCCACCACTGCAGGGCCCTTGCTTGGCTTGAGGAGCCTCCAGCCTCTTGTGAGTCACCTCCAGAGTGGGAAAAGCACCTCTTGTCACTGCAGGCCCATGGCACATATCTGCTCAGCTCGGTTAGGTCTCTCCCAAACCATCAACACGAGAAACCCCAGCACAGGAGCTGGCAGTGGGACAGGGCAGATCTCTCCATCACACACTGCAAACATAGCAACCACCAGCAGCGTGCTTCGTGCCAGGGGATTTCTGCTGGGAAGCGGAGCCAGGGAAACAGAAACAGGGTGAGAAGGGAAGCCAGGACCCAGCTCAACCGTTTCTGTTGGCTGGGAGGCAGGAAGAGGCAGACTGGGAAGTTGCAGCCCCTGGCCAGGGGAGAGATGAGAGTCTGGACACCATTGAACACTGTACTAGAGCTGCCAACACCCTGTGCAAGGGCCACCAGCACCAGGACTGGAAAGGCCCCTCTGATGTCCCCATGACAGGACTGCAGCTGACCCCAGAACCCCCACACCTGGCTCCATCGCTGAGCAGGTAGCTGGATCCTGTCCTAGGGATGGTGGATCCTGGGTGGATCCTGGGAGATCCTGTGAGGATGTGATCCTGGGGGTGCTGAGAAAGGGATCTGTCAGTCCTGGAATTTTACATCTGACCCCAGATCCAAGCGCCTCCTCTTTAAACCAGATGGATCCACATCCTTTCATCTCTCCGTGCTGGCAGGTTTGCCTGGCTCTGCAGCTCCCATTTCACACTCCCCATGAGTCCCCAGGGCCATTCATCTCCGCTGCTTCAGCACTTGCCTTCCCCAAGGGCACCTGCCACCCACTCCCTCCTTCCTCCCCCAGTGCTGCAGGCCTGGGTTTTGCAGTAGCAAGAGCAACGAGGGAGAGGTGAAACTCCTGCCTGGGAGAGGGTCGGGGCTGTTGCCCCTCACCTCAATGAGCCACTCTGTCCCCAGGTCCTGCCTGCCCCGCAGTGGCTGCCGAGGATGAGCATCACCCAGCTCTGTGTGTGCTGGGCAGGAAGCTCTGTGGTGGCTCGTCCAGCTCTACGCACAGCAGGGCCAGCCTTGAAATAGATCCAACTTCACGTGCGGAGCAGGGTGCTCAGGCTTCGTCCAGGCAAGTTCTGGATCTTGTGAAGGATGGAGATCCCACCTCCACACTCATATGGAAAAAGTTTCCTAATATTTAGCAGGAATTTCCCTTGATGCAACGTGTCCATTGCCTCATGCTTTCACTGCGTGCCTCCCATAAGAGCTGGTCTCCATTTTCCCTGTAACTTCCTTCAAACTGCCGCAGGGAGCAGTGAGGTCACCCCAAAGCATTCTCCACACAGAGCAGACTATCCTGTCCCCTCCCATCCCCAGGCTTGATGCATGGGAAAAATCCCACCTGAATGAGCACTTCCAGCTAAAATAGAGTGCTGGAGTGTGCCTGGAGCTGGTGAGGGGCTCTTCTGCAGCACTCCTGCCCACAGTGTGATGAGCAAACACCAGGCTGCTGCCGTGTGTGCCTGCCTGGCCATTAGGGTGAGAAGTTGTGTCGGCCTCTGGTAGGAAGAGTGGCAGGGAGAGGTTTCCAAGCCTCTTGCTCTGGCTCAGCTCATTGTCTCAGCTTGAGTCGAGGGCAGAGGGTGGAGGAGGGAGCTGCTCCTGGGGCTCCATTGCTGCTCCACTGGAGCCATCGCTGCTCCCTGCGGTGTCTCCTGCAGGGAAGCCCTGCTCCGCTCCACCCTGCTGCCCCGGGCAGGTCTCCGGGGCCTCCTGCGGCACCCAAGAGCCTCCACCCACCCGGTGCCTCCAGACGCTGACTCAGCTCTGCCAGGGGAGCTCCCGGCAGCCTCCGAGACGGGGCCTCTGTCGGAAAGGCAGCTGCCCCGTGACGCCACCGGTGCCCTGGGGAGCCTGGGGCCCAGTGGAAACAGGCTGGTTTCAGAGGCCTCCCTGCCTGCTGCCGGGGTAGCGGGTTTGCATGCGCTTCCTGTGCGGAAGCTGGAAACCTGAGCGAAAAGCAGAGACGGGCAGCGGAGGGGTGCAGGGACCTGGGTTTCCCTGCAGGGATAAAGGGCTCTGAGCTTTCGCCGTGCCTTGGGGGTGAAATGAGATGCTCTGTGAAGCATCCGGCTGGGCTGCACTCATGCAAAACCCTCATGCAAAACCCTTGAAAACTCATCGAGCATCCGTGAGCAGAGCCCAGGCTGCCTCAGGGGAGTACAACAAGGGGGAACTGAGGCACGGAGCATGGGGCTTGTCTGCAAGCAGCGCGACAGGGGTGGCTTGTGAAGGGCAGTGCAGCCCCTGGGGACCGTGGGCTGTTTGGGGCGATACAGAGGTGGGGATCCCGCTGTGACCACGGCCAGACCTCTCCTCCGGGCTTCCCCTGCCTGGGCTGTGAGCGGTGGGAGGGGAGTGAACCCCCAGGTTCACAGGAGACCCGGCGGACTCCGGACTCGCGTGGCCACAGTCCCGGGGGCTGCGCGGAACAGTCCTGCTTGTGGCCGTTAGAGAGCAGCAGTGCAATGTCCGCACGTCTGTCCCGCTCGTCGCGCCAGCGCCAGGCGGCCGGACCTGGAAGCAGGGGACACGCGGCAGGAGGGGGAG